GAAGGTTGTAGGTTTGTGTGTCTGATATAGTGTTACTCGGAGACAGGTTGAAGGTTGTAGACTGTTCAATATTTGCAGTGCAGCAGGAGGTCCTTCAGCTCTTCAAGTCTGATAAAGAGCCCCTCAACTAGTGCTGTTTTGCAGCCTCTTTTCCCCTCCTTCGACAAAGCCTTCACATACTTCACTGTACATCAAATATACTGGTCCTGGTGTGGAAGGGAGGAGTGGATCAAGAGGCTGCTACAACAGTCTCACTTCTCTCTGAGCCTGAGACACACTAAATCAGAATTAAGGTTTCATGCCGATTAACACTTCTTCAGAACTGAGGCAGGAGACTCCGTGTTTGTATTTCGCAGGTCAGATCAACCCTAATGTTGTCCGTTAATTATTCTTCACCTCCTTTTCTTTCTCAGTTGGAGACAAGGTGCCTGCTGATATTAGGATCACCTCCATCAAATCAACAACATTGCGTGTGGATCAATCAATCCTCACAGGTATGTCTACCCCCACTCACCAGCTCACCCATCCCACAGGCGAAGCTGGTTCGATCAGTAGGCAGGTTTCTGTGCCTGAATTCAGTCCAGTGACTGCTGATTTAGAGAGCGGTAGAATCATCGAGGGAGTATCCTCCCTACATCTGTAACCTCCTCCAGCCCCTCCATATCATCCCTATTTCGATCACATCCTCCAGCCCCTGTACCCCCCCATCTCTGTAACCACCTCCAGTCCCTACACCCCTCCCTATCTCTGTAATCTCCTCCAGCCCTTCCATTCCATCCCTATCTCTGTAACCTCCTCCAGCCCCAACACCGCTCCCTATCTCTGACACCTCCTATAGCCCCTACACCCCTCTGTCTCCTGTAACGTCCTCCAACCCCTGTATGCCTCCCTATCTCTGTCACCCCCTCCGGCCCCTACACCCCCTCCCTATCTCTGTCACCACCTCCAGCCTCTACACCCCTTCCCTATTTCTGTAACCTCTTCCAGCCACTACACCCCTCTTCCAGACCCCATGTGAACTGCACTCACTAACTGTCATGAGGCTGGCTGAGACAGTCCTATGGGAGTATCTGGGATTAAGGTTGAGTGGGCAGGGGGAGGTGTTTGCCTATTTGCTTGGGGAATCTCCTTGTCTGCACACACTGTGACCTGCCATCCGCTGCACTGGGCCTGATGATTTCATTGCTGTCTGTCTGCCCTGTGTTTCTCTCAGGGATTTGGTTGGTGGGAGGGCGGGATTGTGGAAGGCTTGGGGATGGAAGAATGGGTTCCAGTCACCATGTGTAACTTCTTTTGTTGTCTGTCTCCTTACCCTCCCACCCCACCATCCGCCTGCACCCTCCGCACCATCCTGTTACAGGAGAATCCGTTTCTGTCATCAAGCACACCGACCCCGTGCCTGACCCTCGAGCTGTCAATCAGGACAAGAAGAACATGCTGTTCTCGGTGAGACTAATGTGCTGCCTGTGGTTGATGGGGACGGAGTGGTGGGGGCTAGGGCACTGCCTGCGGTTGATGGGGGCAGGGGGCTAGGGCACTGCCTGTGGTTTCTGGGGGTGGGGTACCAGGGGGTAGGGGCTGTCTGGTTGCAGTGGGGACTGGGTGTGGGTCTCTGAGGGATCAGGTGGGGATCTCTGGGTGTCTGAGGGATTGGATGGGTTTGTTTGAGGATCAGACAGGAGTGTCTGTAGGGTTGCGTTGGGGTCTCGCCTTCTGTTCAGACTCTGGTGCATGTCTCCCACCCTCAGGGCACCAACATTGCAGCTGGGAAGGCTATTGGAGTTGTGGTAGCCACCGGGGTGAACACTGAGATCGGTAAGATCCGCGATGAAATGGTGGCAACAGAGCAGGAGCGGACACCACTGCAGCAGAAGCTTGATGAGTTTGGGGAGCAGCTCTCCAAGGTAATCTCCATCATCTGTATTGCTGTGTGGATCATCAACATCGGACACTTCAACGACCCAGTCCACGGGGGCTCCTGGGTTCGCGGTGCAGTCTATTACTTCAAGATTGCTGTGGCACTGGCTGTGGCTGCCATTCCTGAGGGACTGCCTGCTGTTATCACCACCTGCCTGGCACTGGGTACTCGTCGCATGGCCCGCAAGAATGCCATTGTCCGCAGCCTGCCCTCTGTCGAGACACTGGGCTGTACCTCAGTCATCTGCTCTGACAAAACTGGCACATTGACTACCAACCAGATGTCTGTCTGCCGGGTAGGTGCTGCCAGCTCTCCATCGGTCCTCATCCAGTCCTCCGCCTCTCACTCGGCCCCTCTTTGTCCTCGTCTGCTCGCCCGCCTCTCACTCGGCCCCTCTTTGTCCTCGTCCGCTC